AATTGCAATATGAAGTGGGTGAGGGGGGGGGGGGGGTCACTATTTTAGCATTTTAAGTAATCACGTTCTTATAAAGTTCAGCTTTTAGATCTCATCGAAACCACATTCATGGGCCAACATTTGGTACAAAATTTATAAAAATAAGAGGGAAACAAATTCTGTACCCACTCTAGACTATGATTGAACCCGTACAAACTACACATTTATTTGTAGCGCGATGCTGGGCCATTGGGCCACGCCAAATTGCGAAGGATTGACATCGTCAATTAAATCAACACATTAAATCAACACATTTATATACAAATTTTGAATGACTAAATTTTTCTGGCCCTAGTTAGAGTCGCCAAGAAGTTTGTTTTACCAAAGTATGGCCAATGTGGCCATACTTTAGTAAGGATGTATATTTGAGCGTTACGACCATGTACCTGATGACATGCAGTGTATATTTGAGTGTTACTGACCATGTATCTGATGACATGCAGTGTATATTTGAGTGTTACTGATCATGTACCTGATGACATGCAGTGTATATTTGAGTGTTACTGACCATGTACCTGATGACATGCAGTATATATTTGAGTGTTACTGACCATGTACCTGATGACATGCAGTGTATATTTGAGTGTTGCTGATCATGTACCTGATGACATGCAGTGTATATTTGAGTGTTACTGATCATGTACCTGATGACATGCAGTGTATTTTGAGTGTTACTAACCATTTACCTGATGACGCGCAGTGTATATTTGAGTGTTACTGATCATGTACCTGATGACATGCAGTGTATATTTGAGTGTTACTGATCATGTACCTGATGACATGTAGTGTATATTTGAGTGTTACTGATCATGTATCTGATGACATGCAGTGTATATTTGAGTGTTACTGATCATGTACCTGATGACATGCAGTGTATATTTGAGTGTTACTAACCATGTACCTGATGACACGCAGTGTATATTTGAGTGTTACTGACCATGTACCTGATGACATGCAGTGTATATTTGAGTGTTACTGACCATGTACCTGATGACATGCAGTGTATATTTGAGTGTTACTGACCATGTACCTGATGACATGCAGTGTATATTTGAGTGTTACTGATCATGTACCTGATGACATGCAGTGTATATTTGAGTGTTACTGACCATGTACCTGATGACATGCAGTGTATATTTGAGTGTTACTGATCATGTACCTGATGACATGCAGTGTATATTTGAGTGTTACTGATCATGTACCTGATGACATGCAGTGTATATTTGAGTGTTACTGACCATGTACCTGATGACATGCAGTGTATATTTGAATGTTACTGACCATGTACCTGATAAGTTTGAATGTTACTGACCCGGAGTCGTTGCCCATGTAGTGACGGAGAGGACATTTCCTCTTGTGGAACTGACTGTTCTTACACCCGCACTCTAACACCCCGTAAACAAACAAATAACTCATTTGTACATGCATACAGCCCCCCTGTGCAGGGAAGTATTAGAATCTAAACTTACTAAATACTGTTATAGTACAGACAGATCTGCCAGACAGAGTATACTTAACTTGTTAACTGAAACAGAGAAAAAGTTCAAATCCATTGGTGCTAAAGCTTGGATCAGACAAGTGACGGTACCTGATTAAGTAAGATCAACTAAGGTAGAAAGGAAGGAACTGTCTGCAATAATAAAATAGTGAGACATTAACATAGTGTGTAGAAGTAGTGTAACAGTAGTTATAGTAGTGTATAGCTTTATAGTAGTGTATGTAAACAGTAGCGCTGTTTACAATAGTCTCCACTCTCCCTCTTTAAGTACCCGGTGCCGTCATCGCGATACAATACACAGCCACTCATGTCAGCTCATATGTCATAAGGCCGATTTTTCCCCGATCCATGACTCAAAGTGCCGAAGGCACAAAAGAGTCAAGGACAAGGGTTAGCGATCGAGGTTTTTTTAATATGGTAGCTTTGCGACCGTGTGTGCGAGTGTGCGACCGTACGTGCCTGCGAGCACTGTTATCGCCCACGTGACTACCTGCGCAAAGCTATTTTGCGTGACAATCTGAATTATATAATTGTTGGCGCGCGGCGCTGAACCAACCAAGTACATTATTAATTTCATCATGTACGTATCCCACTAGGCACTAATTAATAGCATATTATTATTATTTTGAGTTAGTATTACTATTTTGCACAGATCCGTGTCAGGTTGCATAAACAATAAACATATGGTTACATAGAAGTATACACGATTTTCAAATTCAATATAGAATTATATTAACTGAGCGGCAGTCGGCATGTCACTTCGCCATATTTGCATGTTTATATAAACAGTAAAGACTGGGCCGTCCCCAGGTTGTATGAAATATGATAAATACGCCATCACAGATCGGGAAATTGAGCGGCCATCCACAAAAGAAAAGCGGCCGCATTTCTTGTTGACCATTGTTAATGGTCTGGCCCGGCGCGCGCTACTTCGTAGCACGTGCCATCGGGCCATAACATTTCGAGAAGAAAGCGGCGCGCGCTACTTCGAAGAAATTTAGACAAGTAACATCCGTCAAGGCCGATTTCTGCGATGTTTTTTATGTTTTACCTGGAGACCTCAGGCTATCCGCTTCTACTAAATCGCATGCCCAAATTTCAAGAAAATTCGTGTGAAAAGGCCCTTTGGGTATGAAATTGATCTAGATCGGTGTTTTTTAGACGCTGATTCCGAAATCCGAATCACCCCCCATGACGTAGGGTAAAAATGTTTCCCTGGAGAGTTATGGGTAAAACATGAATTCGATTGTTTAGGACTCGAGTAAGGGTTAGGGTTGTGGTACATGGTAAGGGTTAAGGATGATGATTAATCACTCTACACTCGACTGTCACGTGACTTTTTCAACCCGTTCTCTAGCTGGCCCTAAAAGACTATTCGGAACCCTAACCCTTTAGTCTGATCCCAACCCTAACCCTAACCCAATCCATAACAAAAGCATTTGCTGAAACCCTAACCCTAACGAAAAATTAGACTAACTTCCTTATATGGGCATATCACGTGATCGAGACAGTTTTTCGCCAATATCTCGTCAGGGGAGCATTTTAACCCTATGTCAGGGGGGTGATTCGGAATCAGCGTCCGAAAATACATCGATTGAAGTTGGTTTCAACTGTCGGGGGCCCTTTTAGAACAATCTCGAAGATCGACTGTAGAGTGATTTAGCACGCTCGAAGGGTTAAGGATAGCTTCGTAGTTCGGGGTTTTGGTTAGGGTTTAGACTTTAGGGTTAGGGTTGGGATTAGGGTTTTTGTAACACCGTTTTGCACGGCTGCAAAACCATAAAAACCAAAGTCACGTGATATTTTTGGGCGAGCAAATTAGTAAAAGATTATGTTTATAATTGTGGCGCAATGCGTTACTGGGCCGCGCCGCGCACTCAATTATGCTTCTCGCGACCACTAAATCGGCGAAATGCGCTACTGGGCCTCGCCGAGCTACGATGAATTGACATCGTCAATTAAGTTCATAAACAATAAAGATAATAAAGATTAGGCGGAATGACAGGCTGAGCGCGGCCCAGTAAATTATGTTTTAATCAGATATATACAATTAAATATAGGATCACCCTCCGATTGATCCTAGAGCGTCTGAAGTGGCACACATTAAATAATACTTGCTCTAACCAGAGCCCTCTCGCTTGCACTAGCGCGCGACCGCCGAAGGCGCGTCACGCAGTACGCGTAGACACATGGCTATGTGAAGATCAATACTAACAACAAACAGACCGCATCTCGAACAAAAATATAATAGGATCTAGCTTTCAATATACATGATACAAATAACGATAGGACTTGTTTTGTAGCGCGATGCACTACTGGGTCGCGCGCGCATCAAATAATGCTTATCGCAACCACAAATGTATGCAGATCGACGAGATGCAAAGGATTGACATCGTGAATCAAGGACTTGTTGTAAGTTTATAACCTACCAAGGCGCGCGCCGAGTTGGACTCGTCGGCGGTCTTCAGTCGATCTTATCGACTAATAATTAATTTAATATTTGAAACAAATTTGATTGACGATATCAACCCTTTCAGATCTTGTCATACGTTGTATGACCCGCCGTGCACGAGTGTGCGGCTCCCCATGTATTGTACAAACTCTACCATAGTGAAACTATACTATAGTGAAACTGTACTATAGTGAAACGACGATGGGTGTCATGACGTGATACAATTCAGATCAAGTTGCTCTGCAAAGCAATAATGATAGTTCGCGCGGCGTTTCGAAGCTGCGAAGTCCTGGAACAAGTATTTTGCGAGTATAACCTAGACCTATTAATAAAACCTGCCGTCTTAATAATATAATAATAATAACAAATAATAATATAAGCTAGTAAGTACTCATGAATCGAAATAATATGAGCTGCATAGTGCATAACGCAGGTGTCAGACTGCACGTTATAAACTCTTCAAAACACGTTGCACTTGCAAAATAAAAATCTTCAGTGCACCAAATGCGAATCAAATCAACCTGGTGTGTAATAAAATCTTTTATCTGGGGACCCCAGGCTATTATGTTCATAAACACCGAATAAAGATTCGGCGGAATGACAGGCTGAGCGCCGCCCAGTAATAAAATATTATGATAAAAAGTATATTAAATATTGAATCGCTGAGTCTTTACATTACACTTAATTTACACTAGTAGTATAGGTACTAGTACAACCCAACTTTCGGCTGAATTTCGCTATTGCAGTTAAAACAATATTGCGAAAGTATAAACCCACTCAGTCGAAAACCTGCATCAGACTGTAACAAAATTGTCTAGCAAATAACAATAAAAATAACTCCTAACTCTTACCGTTTTCTTGATTAAAACAAAAATAATGTGATTAAGCGGTTTATAAATGGAGTTTCCATGGTATGGGATTAGTATTAGTGGTAACCTAATCCAACCCTGGGAAGTAACAGTAGGGATATGCAAAATTTAAGATCTCATCCATATTCAATATTTGACTGTTAGCTCCTGAAAACAAAAATGATTGAAGAGTCCAAGAGGAGCATCTCTTCAAACTTCAAAGTATGAAATGTCTCTCACGATTTGTATAACTGACTTGACTATAATTGCATACCGATTGCAAGAGGTTTTGTAGGTTTATAACCTACCAAGACGCACACCGAGTTGTACTTGTCGACGGTCTAATATTTGAAACAAATATTTTACGAGTATCACCGGTTAAAAGAGGTTGTACTGTACAACTCCACAAATTTTCTCTTAATGAACTTTACCTTTTAGTGTAGATACCTTCGGAAAATATGGAAATTGGACATGCAGACAAGATCTCTGAACTGGGAGCACCCAGCATGTGGATAGAGTGGGGGGACTTAGCAAGGAAGAACAACTCTTGTAATTTAGGTCATCAACATCTTTTAATGTTATAAGGATACATACCATTATATTCAAAAACATTAATAATAACATAAATAATAACCTAAATAATAACCTAAACAAGACAAACCAAAAATTGATTCAGCACTAGTTTCATATTATGGTCACATTTTTATCAATCAATACAAATAAATGAGATTATCGCATAAAATTCAATAAAGTAGTGGCAGGTCACCTTGGTGCATGTTGTCAAATGTTTACTTTCAGGATCTGGATTTCCTAATTTTCCTCTCCACCCTGATTTGAGGGAAGAACTTGTCAGTGCCGCAGAAAATCCTGTGACTTGTTGGTAGGTGTTTCTCAGTCTGTATTTAGATAATAGTTTAGTCAATAGTTTCTCTGTATTTAGTTAATACTCTGAGATTCGGGCTCAAGAAAACTGGGTACTGAAAGTCACAAGTTGTTTTATTTGTATTCACATATGATCTATGATAAGGTGCTGTAATGCTATGTATTTGAAAAGCAGCCAGCTTCTTTTCAAAAGAGGATTAGATAAAGTGTTATTTTTTTCACTATTCATTAAGCTCTCAATTCACACTCAGTGGATATCATACCTATCATTTAATTTTCAAATTTCTGTTTCACTGTTAGATCACAGAAAAATTTAGGATTACAACAATTAATGTATATCATCAACTTTAGGTATACACGAGCTCAAGGACATCCAAAGTTTATTGAAGAGATTATTGCAACATATTCTCCTTTAGTTGGTCGAGAAATTCAACCAACAGAAGCAATTGTAACTATTGGAGCGTATCAGGGAATATTCTGGTCATTTGAAGCATTTGTTCAAGCTGGGGATGAGGTTATTGTGTTTGATCCTATGTTTGATGCATACCGCTTGGACTGTGTCCTAGCAGGAGCAAAATTCGTTCCTGTAGCACTTAAGTTGGAGGTAAGTGAAATCCTAGATTCATACACAAAGCAGAATACTGAAAATATAATGATAATTATTTCACAAGCAGTTCAACAAAAACTGACTTCATCAAACTACAGTTCCATTGGCAGCATCGTTATTCGTTAGCAGAAGTTATCATTATGTTTAGTCGAGAAAATAGTCGAATAAAATATCAATCACATGATAAAGTCAGGGTTTTAGGGTACAGTAATACAAATTTGATGTACTTTGATTTTTCAAGTCAGGTTCATGGGTACTAGATGAGGAATTATTTGAAAACAGCTTTAATTGTAACACAAAGATGATTGTTGTTAACACACCCCACAATCCGACCGGCAAAGTTTTTACCAGGTTAATTTTTTTACTTTGTTTTAACGCTCATATCAAGCTTGTTTTAAATGATCAAGCATCATAACAGTTTTACTAACTTGATAATTATAAACGGTGGATTGTATTCAAATAAAAATGATTTGACTTTAATGAAGTTCAATTTTCAGGAAAGAGCTTGAATTTATTTCAAAATTGAGTAAGGAGTACAATTGTTTGATACTTGCTGACGAGGTTTATGATCGATATGTATTTGATGGACACGAGCACCTTAGCATTGCATCCCTACCTGGTAAAGTTCAATGCTTGCTAAATCCTAGTTAAGTTTAATAATTCAATAAGACAGACGGATGTTCCCAAATCCACATAACTGTATTACTTTTAAGAATATGACATTTGTCTCTATTAGCCTTTTTTATGAAGTTTATATTACACTTAATTATATGCGTTCGATATTTTATTCATTAATTAATTATAAATAAATGGAGGGTTTTTATTCAAAAGATGGCGTTTGTCAGGAATGTGGGAGAGAACGATAACCCTGTGCAGTGCCGGTAAAATGTTTGGAGTTACTGGTTGGCGGGTCGGTTGGGCATTTGGTGGTGCAAATCTGATCGAGAAGCTTTTTAGGATCTGTAAATGTGACACATTTGGAGCTAGCACTATCCTACAAGAAGCTTTAGCTGGCATGTTGCAGAGGCAAAGACTTTGTATCCCTCCGAAGGAATCATATTTTCAATGGGCAAGGAACATTTTCGTTGAAAATTATACCAAACTTCAAAAAGCTTTTACTAATGCCAATATGCCTGTTATACCAGCGGATGGTGGGTTTTTCATGATTGTGGACTGCACAAAAAGAAGGTTCAAGTTCCAAGATTCGCCTGAATTTCAGTCATCTGTAGAAACCTTTGATATTAAAATTGCTAAAGGTATTGTTAATAAATACAAATTATCAGTTTTACCCTTGAGCCTTTTTTATGGCTCGGATTCTAAGAGTAAGTTAACCTCGTATCTACGAGTGTGCTTTGCAAAATCCCCTGAATCAGTGGACAAAGCTGTAGAAATCATTGAATCTTTCGAATAATATTTCACTGAAGATATCTACTTTCCATGAACATACTTGACAATAATGGCGTACAAATAAAAAGAATATCAGCCTTAGAGAATTAGCCATCGGTTTTTTGTTTTTCTTAAAAATTTTGTTTCTCTTATAATATATAAATAATGTTTATTCATAATTTTCAATCGATAAATATAATCATTTTCAGCTTTAAGTAATTTTATGATTAGAAATGTTGACATTGTAATTTGTAATATATTTTATACTACTTGTTTAGGTTAACAAATACAACATTCATTGTTCACTTTCGTTCCAAAATATAACTATGGATTGGTAGACTTGCTGCATTCCTCTCGTTTAGTCAAAGAGTTAACTGTCCAAATAGACTGTAGAGATAATGTAGTTTTTGATCTGCTATTTCACGTCTTCATCACAACTATTTTAAGCTCAGAATGTATTGGATACTGTTTGCGATACTTATCCATTGTGGGCTCTCTCTACCTGTAAATTCAAACCCTGACAATTCAAATCCTGGTTTTCGATTCCAGGTCACTCAGAAAGGCATCAACTACTGTGAGTGGCGAAATGTTTTTATCTGAATAACATTTTAGTAACTGCTCGGATATGATGTTATTGTAAAAGGTTATTTGTAGGTTTATAATTATGTTTCAATTAAGAAATCGGTTTGAGTTCTAACTATCTTCATTAATTATGAGAAGATAAAAGTAAGAAACTTTAACTGCCTCCCCCCCCCCTCAGTGCGTGATGTGCTGATCCCCGTGGTGACTGATGCGATTAAAACTGCTGAGATTCCTCCAATAAATCAGAGGGTAGACACCCCTATTGGCCACATCACCTTCGGATTATCAAGGTCTGTGTAAAACCCTGATTTACCGCACCCTGATTTACCGTAAACCCCGATTTACCGTGGATGTTTCCTTTCCCAAAAACTCCGCGGTAAATTAGAGTTTTACTGTTATGTAATATGTATCATAATATTAGGAGGAACGTTACAACTGAACTGTAGGATTTTATTTTCAAAATTTCATTCCGTCAACGTTTTTCCGGATATACTGGTTCGAATACCTTGATGGCGACTTGTGTCACTCTCGCCGACCTTGCTGATTGGTCACTGGTCAAGAATTTAGTCAAAAACGCGAAATTTCGGTCAAGGGGACGGCAGAAAAGCTCCTCTTCAAAAATATTCCTGAAATCTAAATATCTTTTTATATGTTGATGATTTTCCGTTTATATCAAAGCTTTCTTTGGGAATAGAATTTTGAGTACCTCGATCGTTTCTAAAATTCTGTTAATTGATAATAATTAATTAGTAGAAATTAATTTCCGTGGAATGATATTGGTATTTATTTCAGTATAAGAATAGGGAATGTTGATATTTCTCACACAACTGTTGAACTGGACACACCTTCCAATGCTGTGGCTGCCATTAGTGACGCTTTTATAGCTGTAAGTTTTCAAATATTAATGATCATAGCTATATTATATATTTATTATTAACAGCTTGCTCAGTTTATTAAATGTGTATCATAGTAAATGAGGAATCATCTTATCAGTTAAATGCACGCTGGAATTACAGAGAAGACTCGTGGCCCCACATCAGTGACGACGGTTCAGTGGATATCAGTGCTACTCAAATATCCATCAACCTCAACCTACAGATTGGTTAGATATTGTTGTGTACTTACTTTGTTACTTTGTAGGGCTTCATAGAATCCTCTATCGGGCCATCGAAAAAGTCGACCCCCCGGACAGTGTAGAAACTGTTTTATCACCACTCCAATCCAGCAAGGAGTTTCCATTCCGACGGCTGTATCCTGGAGCTGGAGGCTCGTCCGGAAATGACTTCACAAAGTTCGTTAAAGCTGCTTTGAATTGCATAGGATCCTCGATGGTGTGCATATGTAATGGGATTACATTCCATAATCGAGGTCCAGTGACTGCAAATGAGTTGTCATGTAGTGCTTGATTACGTTGACTGCTGGACTTAGCTATACTGGGCACAACTGCTTTTTGACCATGTCTGAGAGTCACCGAGAACTGGATACCAATATCATTAGGGCACTTGCAATGCAGAACTTTCCACATGTTGATGATTAAATACCGTTCTATTCTTCTTTGCAATGACATCAGATCTAGGGCCTTTAATCTTTGCCAGTAGTTGAGGTGCTGGGTGCCATCTATTTTCGATGTAAACGTACGCTGAATCCCTTCTAGCTGTTGGATGTCCTTGTTCTTAGAGCAATTCCACAGAGGACAGCAATACTCCAGATGGCTTCTAACGAGAGACTTGTACAGAGTCATCATGGTGGCTTTGTCTCTCGTTTTGAACGCACTTAGTACCCAAGAAGCAACTTTTCCTGCACGTTCAGCTATCCTGTTGATGTGTGGGGTCCAGGACAAATCAGCGGAAACTGTCACTCCTAGATCTTTCACCGTTTGAGTGGGGTACAGCATGTTTCCGTTAGACACTTCATATGTTTGAGCTTGGATGGCGAATGGATGATCAAACAAGGAATTCTTTGGACAATGCTTGTGAACAAGAAGCTCGAACTTATCCTCGTGAAGTGCCATGTTGTTGCACTTAACCCAATTAACAACAGAGTTGAGATCATCCTGCAGGACATCTTTGTCGGCCAAACTGTAGATATGCTTAAGAATCCTAGTGTCATCAGCAAAGAATCTGATGACAGACCCTTTAACACATAGCTTCATATCATTTATGAACAGAATGAATAACAGTGGCCCAAGAACGGTGCCTTGTGGAACTCCACTGAGGATTGCGGCAGCAAATGATGATACAACATCTAACACAGTAGGGACCCATAGTCCCTATTGTTGTGGGTCTTAGATTTAACTCCTTTTAGACTTCGTGGAAGAATTATGTGGCTATCGTTGGTGCAGCAGACAGTAGTTCTCTTAAAATCACCTGCTAATCATATACTAATTACTTAGTAAATACCTACTAATTCCTCACTAATTACTCACTAATTACATATAACAAACGACTCATTATTATTAAAGGTACAACAGACAAGGGAGAACCTCACGTGACCACTAAAACATGCTCCTTTAACATTGGTCATGTTGATGTTACTTTCCACGGAGGTGCTAGCTGGCTGTACAATCTGTTCAGCAGCAGTATTGCTGACGCTCTTAAGGATGCTATCAAAGACCAGGTGCAGACATTTTACCTCGCTTATACTAGCTTTTAACTCATCGCATTTATTCAATCGCACGTAAAGAAACCTGTTAAAATGAAAGTATTTTTAGATACAAGTATTAATTTAATCGACAATTCTATTCTTTACACATGTTTGTCAGGTGTGTCCCCTGGTAACAGATGCTGTTGATACTAATCTCAATGATATTCTGGATACTGTAGACCTCAAGGCGGACATTGATGACAACTGCTACATTGATTATTCTCTTGTACAACCTCCTTTTGTCATTAAAGATGCCATCTTTGTCAATGGAAAAGGTACGTGACCCTGTTAATGGCATAAATCTCCAATGCTTGAAGTTGAAATCTGATTTTAGTGGTAACCATGAAATTTATTTATGAACCAGCATAACTCTACGTGTCTCAGCTACATAAAAGTAGATGTACGACGTACGTGTTCTATCATATTAATAACCTCATTTTTCAGGAGAAATATTCGATAAATCCAATCCAAAAGAGTGTCCCTCCCCTAAACAAGATATGCCTGAAACAGTGGACAGTGAGAGGATGGTAACACTTTGGATAACTGAGTACATGTTGAACACTGCTGGTTACGCTTACCAGACTGCTGGCTTCCTCCAGTACAACCTCACCAGCGATGATGTTAGTTTTTATTGAAATAATATTTTGTGTTAATTTAAACTTTTTAGCTCTTACAACTTTTCGGTAATACACTACTAGTTTGACGGTCTTTGGTATGCGAGCAATGCTGGTATCATTGTCCATTGTAATACAGTGTAAGCTGTCTTAAGGTCTACTTTATCACAGATTCCGGACAAGATCCCCATAAAGATGACCACTGGTTTCTTCAAATACTTTGTCCCCATCCTTTACAAGACATATCCTGACAAGGATCTCACTCTCTGGTTATATGTCACAAAACCTGTAACATTCGACGTTAACAAAGCAGGTTATTAGATTTCTCTTAAAACAAAGTAATAACCTTTAGATTACAACAATGGTATTTACTATTTGTAACACAGTTAACAACAAAGCTACTTACTCATGTCTAATATCTATTTATTTCTAGGAGTGAGTGGTAGAGCAGAGGGAACAATAACTTGGCTGGTCCATGTTAACGATACTCTAGTTCCTGCCTTTACCCTGGACGCTCAACTTGATCTTTGTGTTAATCTCAGTGTGCAACTTGGATCTAACTCTGAAATATACCTTGATCTCATCACTGTCGAGTTAGTTAAACAACGCAGCTTTTATTCTTTTATTGGTTAATTACTTGTGTGTGATTCACGGTATAAATTAAGCATACATACAACCATTTATCAAGATAAGTTAGAATAAGTAAAGAATAGATTTGCCATTATTCTGTGCCTCTCTAGTATGTATATTTATTTAAGATAGCCTATGATTTAAATAACTGTACTTTCAGACCGTACATACAGCTGAAGAGTTCGAACATCGGCAACTTCTCCGTCAGCGCCCTCCAATCATTCATCAAGTTCTCCAGAGCGCTCATAGTCCCATTCGTCAATGCTCTTGTCAAGAATGGTATTCCTCTGCCTTCCTTTGATTACGTCTCTTTTACTGGATTTGACTTCAACTTGGAGGATGTAAGTACCTTCTCTCTTTTAGTTTTTACACCCTATATATACTTGGCCTTCTTCTGTTACCGGGGTCCGGGATAGCCATCAGAACTTTATCGGAAACATATCATGATACTATAACTGAATGATAGAATTCATCGGTGGTATAATATATGGAACTAACGGCGCCAGCTGGATCCTTAAAAACACGAAACTTGCATCAGGATCCGTATTATGTATGCCCAAATGTTTAACTGGTTAGTTAGATCAATATTTATTGCAATGAACCATCAAATACAGATAATATTATGATCTGTAACATATCCTCGTGACACAAAGTAAGCCTCCAACATGACAGTGTCTCTTCTTCAGGGCTACATACAGATCCACACTGATATAAAGTACGTTCCTAATGAGAGGGTCTCCTCGGAGCGAGAATATTACTCACTTTCTAAAGATGGTTTTGAGTGTAAGATGAAAGATAAAGACCTCTGGGCA